GTAATTAGTATCAATGTTATAGTATAATATAGTATTTGCAATATTTAGTAATTAGTATTAAATATCGTAATAGTTACTACACAACCGTCTGGTAATTATTCTAAAATAATTAGTAAAACAGACTTTTAATTTTGTTGAATCAATTTTATTTGTTTGGTTAACGCCACAATGAGAAAAAATACTTCAAAATTCACTTTTGTGAAAGATATAAAGCTTATTTCTGTGAAATAAATTTTATTACTGTGAAATAAAATTTATTTCTATAAATAAGTTTTATATCCCACAAATAAATCTCCAAGTATTTTTTTTCTCAATGCATATAAATTGGTAATAATAGCCAAGTTTTAGCAACAGATACCAAGCTTTGCTAAAATTATTTGTTAATACTTATCAAATTATTTAATTAATTCACCTGATGTGAATTCAAAATGATGTTTATTTAAAACTACTTCATCAAAGCATCTGATAACTATTATCCAGATCTATGATACTAATGATTATTAATAATTTTGATAAACTATTTCCTTTTTACAGTATATATTAAGGCGGAGACAATAAAAGCAGTGAATCACAATCGAGAATTTCAACGTGATAATCTTATGATAAATTTCTTACTGTGATATTTTTAGTTTTTGTGGTGTGAAGTAATGGTTAATCTAGTTTCCAGTTGGATTCATTTCCGACATTTCCCGAACATTCCAGTTCACTTTTTCAGGGAGAGGAAGAACTTAAAACTCTGGTTTCTCTCCGTGAAAAAGTGAAGGCCATATTCTGGACATGTAGCGAACGCTAAATATGATTTCTTGATTCAGAAGTTGAAACGAGGTCGTATATGACGCTCACGTAAGAAAAAGTAAACTTAGAATTAGAAAGGTATATTTAACATTTGTCATATTTCCAGAATAAGGTTCCAAGCAGCATTGGGCATTGATCGATTAAAATTTTCTTTGACTAAAAAATGATTAGAAACCCAATAATCATTTATCATATATAAAAACACAAATAATTTTATCGATTAATAAAATTGATTAATTTAACTTTGATGTAATTAATTGTACACTGATTAATAATTGATTTTATCAACGATTAAATTATTCGTGATTAATTAATATAATGATTAATTCCTTTTGATTATTGATTTACCAATTATTCCAGTCAAAGAAAATTTTAATCGATTAATGCTCAACACTGGCCTTAAGAATGTTCACGAGACGTCGGAAACAAGTTCATGAAGCACGCGGCACGATCTGAAAGCCAGATCAAGTTTCTTATCGTCTTTCTCGATAATTTTTAAATTATGATTTACTACAATGATTATGATAGACTACAATTCATTTATTGCATTAATAGTTGTTATTATATTAATAGTTGCCTGTATTAACAGTTATTATTTAAAATATTTTCATCTCAAATGAGATACTCAGACTTTTAATTTAGAGGCTCGTATTAATAATTATCGCTTGAAACTTATCTCAAGTGCAATATTTAAATTTAAATTCAAAATTAGACGAGAATTTTTCACCTGAGTCGCAATTACACAGATATAAATGTTATATATAATACAATTCAACTGAAAAGCTTGAATAAAACGCTGAATAAAAATCTGAATATTCCATATGAGACAAATTCGATATAATAACTATTAATACGGATTAGAACTAGATGAGAATTTTTCGATTAAATCGTGATTATAAATATAATGTCACATAAGTACATTAATACTTCTCTTTTTACCTTTTCTCGTATGAAATATCGATTTTTATTCAGAATTAAATCTAAGTTATTCAATTATGATATACTATATATATAGTATAACATATTTATATAACATAAGACTTGGTTAAAAGGCATGCAAATGTATGCATGCTTGATTAACGTGGTGCGTGAGTTGGAATAACTTTAGTGTATTGAGCAAAATATATAAAGTCACATAAGTGGAATTATATAGGAATGAGTATGTAAATAGTATGTAAGTGAAGGCAAAACAAGGCGTTAAGTAGGAAAGCAGGATTCAGAGCAGAAAAAAGTGCATAGATAATAGAGGTTATCGCGTTATAAGAAACGGGTAGTTAGGATGGTATAGGTAATGCAGGCAAGTTTAAATTAGTATGGTAATGCAGAAGAAATTGTCGATAGGAAAAATGTATAATAGGTAGTAATAGAAGACTGAAAAATACAAGAGAAGAAAAAAAAGATACAAGAAATAAAGAGGAAAGAGGCTTCGGATAGGATAAAGAAGCAAAATAAAGGTATACAAATACAAAGATGACACAAGAACTAATAGGACAGGTGCTGTGTAAGTAAGAAGATTGAAGTGCAAAGAGTAAGAGGAAGGTTATAAGATATGGGAAGCTCTTTCTTGATGATGTAAGTTGAAGGAGAAATATAGAAAGGGAAGAAAAAGACAGAAAAATCACTTTATGGAGTTAGTAAGAAATACAGAGTGGAGTAATGAAACTAACAATATGAAAAAAATTAGAGAAAAAGAAAATGAAGAGGAAATAAGGAGAGATGAGCCGTGGTAATAGTTATTACTTGAATTGTTTTAAGTGGGATACTCAGATTTGAATCTAGAGTTAGATGAGAGATGTTTAGTTGCATGAGATGTTGAAATGAAGAGATCGAATAGAAAAAGTAAAAGTATGTACAGTTGAAGGGAAGAAGAGTTTGAAGTATTGTGTATGAGGGCAATATGATATTCAGTGACTGAAATAGAAAAGTGTAATTAGACATGATAGATATGAAGAAGATATAGATAGTATAAAAATTAAGCGAAAATTAAGAAGATTGTGACAGGAGATTACAGGAGTATTTAGATAATAAGGATGACATTGAAAAGTCAATTAGAGAAAAGCAATGTAACTATAGGAACATTAGTAACTAAATAAATAAAAATAAGAAATGAAAATAAGGATGGATGTATGTGGTTAAGAAATATAATTATAAACCAAGTCTCTTTCTTGACTATGTAAGCTAAAGAAAAATATACTGATATTTCTTCTGATATATATATGACATTTATGTGTCTATCACAATTCAACATCTCTCGCAACTGAACATCCCTCATCTAACTCTAGATTCAAATCTGAATATCCCAATTGAAATAAGTTTCAAGTAATAACTATTACCACGGGCCATACGTCGTGTGATTCAACTGAGAAATCTGAATTTAATTCTGAATTAAAGACAGAGAGAGAGAAAAAGAGAAAAAGAAGGAGAATCTGAATATCTCACAAAGGACAAGTTTCAAGACCGACAACTATCAATACGACGAGCTTCAAGTTTCGCTGTTATGATCTTGAATAATGTAACGACACATTCGGATTGCTCGTAAAGCAGAGATAAACATTGACATAATTTTTCAAATCTGGCAGACGATGATGTAATCACGATCTATTCGCGGCCAAACAAAGCCGTTTAACGTGCGAACTTTCCATCCCGCAGCGTCTTGTCCTTATTGAAAGTGGAACTCGTTGAGAGTTACAGAGTGGTCGCGAGCGTTGTTTTTTCGCGCACCGATCGACCGTGTTCAATAATTGTTTTCGACACGTGTCGTAACTTTCTCTCTTTCCCTTTCCCGTCGACTATCAGAAAACAATCCTCACGAATACATCTGCCCGATCGAAGTCGCGCGGACGGTTTCGATTGCCCAACAACCACCTGTACGGACCACAAGCATAGATGTATGACACCTATACTGCGTATTTGTGAACAGAAAAAACATTAAGAATGAAACTGAACAGGAACAGCATACTTTGTATCTATCTTTGTATGATATTGTATGATATTGTGAAATAGGAATTTCAGCTCTTCTTTATTGACTATATGTTTGCCGCGAAACGGAGCATCCCTATACTTGTCAGATACGCCACATATTTTCCTCTACATCTTGCAATTCCCCCTCATTCCTTTTCACCCTTTCTACTGTTCTGTTTTCTCAGTCAACGAAGGCTTCCCATTATGCGTCGTCGTTACAAAAAGACAAATTGGCGACCATACAGTAGCCTTCTCTTTCTATTTTCTGACACGTTTTGACTATGGAAGCCGTAGAGATTTCAAATTTCTATTTTAATTTAATACATTATTTTATTTAAATGTTGAACTTACCAGCATTCAGAATTTATTCACAATAAATAAAACAGAACAAAACGCGCTGTACTCAAATATTACTTGTCTCAAGTATTTTATAAGTTTATATATCTGCTAATCTCTATCATAAGAATTCATCATCATCGTCAAATTTATGTAAATTTGTACATCAAGATTTAGAGGATAAATTTGTATCATTCAGAATTTATTCGAAATAAATTCTTAATTCTAAATTTGAATCTAAATTTGAAGTTTATCTGCAAAAATTTATCACAAAAATTCATCAAATGTAATGTCATTCAAAGTAGATTTGTAGATTCAGGATTTAAAGAATAAATTTACGGTTCAGAACTTATTTGAAATACGTAAATTCTTAATTTCCTAACCGCGCGATCTAGGTATTAGTCCGGATCTACAATAGACGTAGTAAGCTTTAAACTTTATACTCTAAATTTTGACAGGAATAAGGTCATTAAGAGCCGATGCTGCATGTTTTTTGCAAATATCTATAATGGGGAAGATAATAATATGTGCAGTGTCAAACGCACGCGAAATAAGATTGTAGATCAAGCTTTAAAGTTTGAATCAGATAGAGATAAAGAGAAAAAATAGAGAGCAAAGAACACATCAAGCTTAAAGCCTAGAATTTCTGGTAAAAGGTGTTTTCCGCACTGCTTTAACAATTGGAATCTGGCCAATTCACTTAAAGCTTAGGGCTTTATGACTTTAGATAGCAGTAGAGAACATTCGTAGTCGAAAATTACGCCACAGTTTTGGGTTTGGAGCATGAGGCTGAACGCTTACTACAACTATTGCAGATCCGGACTTACACGTCTGCGGCTACAACCGTCTACTGCTACTCGACGCGTCGTCGACGGCGACACACTAAGGAGTGAGTGAGCGCAACTCACCTTCTCTCGCTTTCAAGTACACGGTGTTCGCCACGATGTTCTCCAACTCCATCAATTCCAGCTTGATCGGATTTGCGCGGCCGAATCGGGTGGGAGAAGGGGCCTCGTGGTTGACGACGTGGTCGTGCGGGCGCGAATGCGAATGCGAGTTCGCGCTCGATCGCGGGAAGCTCGCGCGGTTGTTGCTGTCGCTGCTGCTGTCGCTGCTGCTGTCGCACGGGGTTGATCACCCTGCCGGGTTCTAGCAGACCAGCTCCCATCTGCGGCCCTGGGACACCCGGGACGATCGGTCCCCGCTGTGCGAGGACCACGTGCGAGAGAATCGACGTGTGTCTCTCGATATGGATTTCTTCCAACTCGGATCACCACGATCCGGACCAGTCGGGCTGAGCGCTTCGGGCTCGGCTACCGTAGTAGCGATCAGAAATCGACGACGACGACGGTGTCGCAATTATCGAGATTTACGAGCCGGTCGCGCCGTTCGAGAAGTTAGCTACGACGACGCTCAACGGGCTCGACTCGATTCCCGGGAGAACGCTCCTCGACGACGACGAGGAAAGATCGCGGTGTCTTCGCCTCGGCTACTTGGAAGGAGACGATTATCGAACAACGGCACCTGCGCCTCGACCAAGACTTGCGCGAGCGCGAAGATGTTAGCTAACTCGCGTAACTCTCTTTTTCTCTCTCTTTCTCTCTCTCTCTCTCTCTTCCTCTCTCTCTCTCTCTCTCTGTTCTCGCGCTCTGTCACTCTCCGTTACTTTGGGGCTTTCCGCAGCTGGTTGAATAATTTCGAGGCCGTTTCCGTTGGCAATTAGGTTAATTAACGGTAGCTTAGGTGGCTTAGACGTGTATATCGTGAAAGGCGACGTTGCTGAGCTTCGATCGCGAAGCGAATGGCGTCGGGATCATCGGTAAACAACGACCGTCGTAGCCGTTAATCGACGTCGGATCCCGTTTTAATCAGTCGACAAGTATTTTATCAGTCTAGAATCTCTTCTATCTTAGTAGGCGATGACAGGTCACCGAAGTAGCGTCCGAAGTGGAGATTAGGCGCGCGCGCTCGCGCGTTACCATCAATGGAAGAAGCTATCGCCGTTCGTAGAGAGAGATCGGCCGTACTGAGCGCTGATCCAGCGGGCTACCAGTGTCCCGGACACTCCCGTGGGGATTGAGTCGCTCTCTTAGGCTCTCTTAAGCTCGTCCGCGTCGCTCCGCGGGGACGGCGGTCGCATTATCGATCGCACAATCGGCACTCGTTGGCGACGGCGGATTCCGCGCGACCATCCTCAGTCGCGGTGCTCTGTCCCCACGTACGCTCCTCGGCAGCTTCTCACAATCGTGCATTCCACCGGCGACGACGAGCGATCGGGCCCCGTCTGGCCGCGGGCGTCGACAGGCCGCGAGATCTCCCTCGGACGCACGGGCAGTCGTTTAGGCAGAATCTCTCTTCTGTCTCTATTTATAATACAGCCGCCGTACGCGGGGCGGCCGCAGCAGACCGACCGGGATGATCTCGCTGACTTGCGCTCTCGACGAGACGTCGCGACCAGACGCGCGAGAGCAGCCGAGAAGATTATCCCTCGTGGAGAGTGTGCAGCGCCTCATACATCTTTGCACAGCGTAGCGGTGTGTATCGACGCCTTAATGGACGACGCGGAAGAAGACTCCGACGAGGAGAGAGAAAGGGAGGGAGGGTGGGAGGGAGGGGGAGGAAGACAGACAGAGAGAGAGAGAGAGAGAGAGAGAGTGACTGCGTGTCGCGGATCCGATGAGTCGCGCGTTAGCTAGCGGGCGGGTTTCTTCTCGACCTGGTGCCGTCTGTATAGCGCGGAAAATGTCGCGCGCTAGTTCCGCGATGCACTCTCTCGGCCAGGCGCCGGCCACTTGGAGGCGCCTTTCACTTTGACGCCGGCGTTGCAGGCCCGACGACGACGATGTGTGGCGAGTGCGCGTGCCGCGACGCGCGCTGACGAGTGATGCTCGCCGAAAGATTCGATCGCGAGATTCTGGTCGACCAATTGCTCGGGAACGCCGATCTCGCGTGCGCACACACGGTCGCTCGGTCGATTCTCTTTCGTGACGGTTCTTCTGCTTTCGCTTCTTCCTCTTCTTCTTCTTTTTACGATGCGTTCGCAGGGTGAATGACACTCGCCCGGAGCTGATTCCTAATGGCTCTCTTCGCACATTTCATTTCTTCGCCGTGCGTAACCCCCTCTCTCTCTCTCTCTCTCTCTCTCTCCTCGCGCTCTCTCTTCTTGTTCTCCTTCGTTCCTTCGTTCCTCTTCAGCCTCCACCGCCTTCACCGGCGCGTCCACGTCGCTCGTACGCACCGTCCCGCAGATTCGTCCCCGTGCATCCTGCAAAGAATCGCGAGCTCAGTTTTTATTCAGATGAGGACAAGCCTCAGAGTATACTGAAAAAAAAGACTGGTAATTATTACTAAATTTACTTAGTTACAAAAATTCGGTAACTAATACCAAATATGACAACAATAACCAAATACATAGTAAATTTGATGTACGGACTTCACAGTGAAATAGACTAAAGATTTTAATAATAGCTACCAAATATTTAACATCTATTACCAAATATTTAATGATTACTATTGGATATTTGGTAAATGTTATAAAATCATTCAATTCTGTTTGTGACAAAATATTTGGTAACTATTAATTGTCTTGTTAAGGCAACGAAATATTATGTGACCATCAACTGTACTTATAAATATTAATATATGTTACCTATTGATATTGGTTACATATCAATTCTCAACTTTCAGTATTTACTATATTAAGAGAAATTATCCGATAAAAAATTAAGAAACGAATATTTCCGATCAAAATTCCAATGAACTTTTATACTTGATCGGGATATCCGATTAAATTTAATCGAATACTCCCGATCATAATGACCTATTTTATTAGATAAACTGATCAAAAAATTATGAATTGATTGATAATTCTCATCAGATGTTTCCTGATCGGAAAAATTCAACGGTATTTTGATCGGAAATATCCATTTGTTAATTTCTTATCAGATAATTTCTCTCATTGTAGTATATATCGCATTGTCATGTTTCTTGAAAGTTATAAGGATATATTATAAGCGTGAGTACAAAGATATTGTCACAGCTCGTAGGACTCACCAGTTTCTGGTCGATCATGAGGTAAAGCATCGGGTGAGCGGGTCTGAGAAAAAGCGTGGATGGATCGCTACAGGATCGAATGAAACAACAGACGGAAACTTCACGTATGAAGTGATAAAAAAAACATGAATGTAAAAAATAAAAAATTTAAATGTCTTGAAATAGTTCAAATAATTCGATGAGATTTTTTAAATAATATATAAAATTATTTAAAACAAATTTTTATCTCGGACGTAAGCTTTCGTAATAGTTACCAATTATCTCATGCTTCAAATCATCTTCATTTTCTGCTATCAAAATTGAATTTTCAGAATTCAATTTGATGACCTAAGGACTGGCTTGTTCCAATTTATAAGTTAACTGTTAAATTATATATGAACTATAAGTGAATTATAAATAAACAGTTAAATTATGTTATATGTCTGTCATTTTTCTTTCAACTTAGATAAATACAGATATATAATTTAATTATCAGATAAATTACCAAGTTGAAACAAGCGGCCCTGAATGTATAATTCAAGCAACTAAAAGTCTTAATTCTGAGATACTATATATTTGCTTTACATAATTAAATTATTTCGTAATTATGTTCACTTTAAGTTTGAATCGCATTATTCGACAGAATAATTTAACAACAACTACCAAATTTTAATACTTGTTACGAAATCCTTCTTGCAGTATGAAGCCGGGATTATTCTCGCTTTCATTAGATCAAACCGATCGAACCCGAACGTTCTTCGCATTCGAATCAAGGTTCCTGGCTTCTCGCCGCGGAACTCTCGTCTCGATGTGACGTCAGAGGCGAGAAAATACACGCTAAATATTCTTGCAAAATACGGTGAAACACAGAGACGTATCCACAAAATGATACCTGCACACTTGCAAAATAATCCGAGCATTCTCCTTCTGCTCGAACAATCAATAAATAACCGTGAAATTAATGCGACATGCATCCTTTCTCTTTAACCTACCTTCTCTCATGAATTTGTCACGTTAATTTTACGGCTATTTACCGCTCGATCAATTGCAAGTATCACTTTGCAAACGTGGAATTTTATTTCTACGTATTTTACGAGAATATTTGACGTGTATTCTCTTTCTCACTTTCTCTTCTAGCGTTATAAATCAAGATGGTCGCTGCGGTTAAGAATCAGGAGGAATTTTATATCAACCCACATAGCAAGTAATATTGCAGTAATATTACAATAATATCACATTTCCATTGCAATATTACAATGAAATGTAGCAGAAATATTACTGTAATACTGTATAACTGAGATATCACAATAATATTACAATATCCGCGAAAACGCATCACAGTAATATTACTATAATATATCACAGTCATGTGAAATTCGGGGACGAAGGATTAGCACGATTAGTCACTTAATTTCATTTCCCCTCTCTTTGCACGAAGCATTAATTTAACTTTCGCTATTTAATTTTATTAATTTTTTAAAAGTACCATTTTTTTATTTTTACTTCATTAAATACATTAATATAATGCAGTTCTAGTAAAAAAAATTAGAAGCTTTATATTTGACGCCAAAGATAGGGTCAGGACATTGATATCTCACTGAAGTTTTTGAGAGAGCATATTTGTCCCAACGGTAATAAGTGGAGTGATGTTTGATGTGTTCTAAATACCAAAAAAGTAGGGTTGGAAAAATTCCACATTTTTTTGGATAAAATTCATAAGCCAATGAGTAAAGCCAGTGGTAAAAACCGGTATTTTCCGGAAAAAAACGGCAAAACCTGGTCTTTGCTATTAAAAATAGTTAAACAAATATGTTAATTATATCTTTTCAACCTAAATTCTTTCAAAAATTATTCTTTTTTAAAAAATCTAGAAATATGAATGTCTAAACGTAGTAGAAAACAATAAGTAAAAATTATCATTTTCCTGCAGATTTTATTAATTGTATCGTGCATAACTGTCTTACATAACTGTCCGGCGAATTCCGCGTCGAATGTTTTGCAATTTATCCCCTCTCCTTTCCCAAAATAAAACACATAATAGATTAGGGATCGATATAGCAAATATATTACTTTTTTCTGACAAGATATTAAATGGTAAATGCGAAATAAATCTGCATTGATAAAATATTTTAATTCTATTGTTTTGCTACTTAAAAAAATTAATATAAAATTTAGTAACACATTTCCAAAGTTTTTATGTTAAAAATGTATTTTATATATTGAATATATATTAAAAAAGACTCTTTTATTATCATATTAGATTCCTTTTCCATATCAACTATAAGAATGACTTATTAATTACATTAATACATTATGTATGATTTATTATTATATATTAATACATTATATTAATAATAATAATACTAATATTAATAATAAACTTTCTTGTATTAATTAAAGTAAAAATAATAAAATATATAATAGTAAAAAGTTTTGCATGTTGTGTAAATATATCAATAAACTTATATAAAAATATCAGTCATTTTTATAATTCTTGCCAGTTCATTCCATTGAATAAAATCCAGTGTGATGAAAACCGGAATTTATCATAGTTTTCTTTCTCAACCATTGGATTTTTCCGGCCAAAAAAATGCAAAAAAATTGTTTATTAGAATATATATTAGAAAAAGACGTTTTTATTATTATATTAGATTCTTTTTCCTAAACTATAAGAATAATTTATTAATTGTATTAGTACATTATAAATAATTTATTATTATATTACATTATATTAATAACAATAATACTAATACGCTGCATTGCACACACCACTTTTTCGTTCTAGTCAGTTTTAATTAATTTTGAACAGTTTACGCGGCATTGGACGCGCAAGAGGTCCGCGCGATACCAAGTTCAAAAGTAGCCACCCCCCTCCCCCTCTCTCGAAAATGCAAATTTCAAGAGTGTAAATCCCGACGATAGCCGCGCGAGTGCCAGTGAGTGTGCGAATCGCGCACTTGTCGCCGCATATATCGTCGTGTCACTGACGCACATGTGCGTACGCGTGAATGGCGATGCAACGGACAGGTGCATCGGAAAGTGAGGTGGAGTAGGGGGGGAGGTCGAGACGGGGAAACTGGAAAAGGAAGAGGGAGAAGATGCGAATAAAGATAACGACGCGACTAACCGCTGCGTCGACACGATAGCCGACGGTAATCTAATAAGCTTTCGCGACCGGGAACGCGTATTTCTACGTATTCGTGTCCGTCGGGGCTCTTAACGCGGTCCCACAGCGAGGACATAAATTCCAGGTAGTTGCGGAAACGCGCGGCACTAGCCATAGGCGGATTAGATGGACTCACTACGCAAAGTGAACTCCCGCGCCCGATCTTCTGCCCAGTTTTATATCCGTACGCTGTACGAGGTCGTGTTCTCTCTTAAAAAAGAAAAAAAAAGTTATTTTGAGTAACAAGACGGTTGTAATAAATTATATTAACCATTGTGTGCCGTAAAACGTAAACAACGGATATCTTAATGGTGAGTTATAATTGGAGATACTTTGATTTACTTCTTAATAATAAATCTTAGTTATAATTATTGCTGTTACTATACGAATATCTTAAGCTTTTCGTTTCTTTCTATTCCTCAAATTCACTCAAACTTTTGACTACTTATGGAAACGTCGTCGCGTACAACAAAAGACTTGAACAAGTAGCAGTTGACTGCGAAAGTAATGTTGGAGAGATGCTCTTAAAATTTGTAGGCAATAATTTCTATTCCATAAACTATGTAGACTATTGCGAAAAACAATGTAATGATAAAGCATCAACAATACGAGATGATATTCACAAAAGACACACGTTTAAGGAAAGGAATATCAATATTAACGAAATAGAAGCATTCTCGCAGAAACGGAAATGCGAGACTTGTCAAGAAATGAATATCGGAGAATTTCATCGGAAGAGAACATTGGAAAATAAGTAAATTAAAAAAAAATGCACAAATAAAAAGTATATATTATATGACACATATATATAATTATTTTTCCATTATAAAAATAATATTGTATAAGCGTTATATAATATTTACTTTTTATTTATTATAAAAATAATCATAAATATATGTATAATTTAAGATATAAGCAACAATTTTATAATTTTATTATTATTTTTATAATTTTTATTATTATTTTATAATTTTATTATTATTATTTTATTAATGTTGCAGATGACTAAATAATAGTGGATATAGTCACTTCATATAATAAAAGAAAACGAAATAAGGAAAAATTGT